GGTCTCGCGCCCTGTGATCCTGGCTGGGCAGCAGGCCCACCCCCACAGCAGGGTACCCCAAGGCCTGCTAAAGCTGCTCACGCCTGCCCCTTTTCCCTGTTTCCAGGACCCTCCGCAGTAGGAGGAGAAGACCCCAGGCTGCAGGGAGGCTCAGTTAGGAAGCTCCTGCTTGTGCAGGAAAGGCTGGCCTCTGCGGTAGCCGCCTGTTGCCCAAGGAGGCCGGTCTCCCGTTTGGTCAGGCCACGTGCGTTGGAGGATCTGCTGAGGCCTGTGGGGTGCTTAACTGGCAAGGAGCTGCAGGATATAAAGGGGGGGAGGACAGCTGAGGGGCCTGGCAGGGTGGTGGGAAGGGAGGCATCTGAAGCGGAAACCAGGGGGGAAGGGCAGAATTTGCACTGGGAGCACAGGCAGAGGTGGTGATAGCAGCCCCCGGGTCTCCCCCCCGCCGCTCCAGCAGCACAGAACGGAATGGGGTGCTCACCCCTACAAAGGGAAATCCCCTCTGTGTGCTTGTGTGTGTGTGCACGTGGGCACCTGCACACACACACGCTTGCACGCCCTGAGGGTTCCCAGACTGAGATGGTCTCTGCTCAGCTCCCAGCAGGCCTCTGTCTGCCAGGAGGAAGGCCCTGCTTGTTCTGGGAGGCAAGGAGAGAGCTGGGGGGCTTGGGGCTGGAGGCCAGGGGCTCTGTCTTGGCCAGCAAGGAAAGAGGGGTTGCGAGGTGTCCCTTGCCCCTTTCCTTTCCTAGGGGGCGGCCCAGGAATTTGGCCTTCCGGGCTTAAAATGGGTGCCTGAGGCGTTTGGGGGTTAGTTCCGGCATCGACGCAGAGCTTGCTTGGCGTGCCAGACTAGGCCCAATTGGAGGGGGGGAGTTGGGGACTCAGAGCCCCACGGGTATCCGCTGTGGACGGGGGGGAGCTGTGGTTCTGTGTGGCTTAGGGCTGGGGCTTCACGGGAGACGGGAACGTCTCCCTTGGTGTCCCCAGATTTCAGGGATGTTGCTCCTGCCCCACTGAGGAATGGGAGTGCCGCTATGGAGGGGGGCCACAGGCGTGGCCGGGCTAGAAGGGTGGGTAGAGCCTCAGGGCTGTTCCAGTGCAGGCCAACTTGCTCAGAAAGGTGGCAAATGTGGGGGGAACCCCCTTTTCCTGTTCTGTGCCTCTGTGGGCACCCCTGGGGGGCTGCAGTACAAGTGTGGGAGAACTGCGCTGCTCCTGTAGGCTGGCACTTCTCCTGCCCGCCCGCCCGGGCGGAAAAACAAGGTGTTGGAGATTCACCCGTCCTGTTGCGACTGCCACAGCTGCAGTCCCTTTGCCCTTTCCTGGATCAGGACGCGCTCTGGTCAGTCACTCATGCCCCGGTCGTGTCTCGGCTAGACTATTGCAATGCATTCTATGTTGGGCTACCCTTGAAGAGTACCTGGAAGCTACAGCTGGCTCGAAATGTGGCTGCGCGGACAATCTTAGGTGCTTCAAGAACGGCACGTGCAGCGCCTCTGCTGCAGGAGCCGCATTGGGTCCCAGTCTGCTTCCGGGTCCAATTCAAAGTATTGGCTACCGCCGTTAAAGCTCTACGTGGCATGGGTCTGGGCTGTGTAAGGAACCATCTCGCCCCGTCACGTCAGGTGGAGAGGGCTTGTCCCGGGTCCCGTCGGTGAGTGAGAGTCGGCTGGCGGGGCCCAGGAGGAGAGCCTTCCCTGCTGTTGCCCCCGCCCTTTGGAATGTTCTCCCCCAGAGGTGTGGCAGCCCCCCGCCCTCCTGGCTTGTGTGGGGTGACAAGAACCTTACCCAGTCCTGGGGGTGGCTGGTGCCTTGAATTGATTTTAACTGCTTTGTAAACCACCCAGAGTTGTTTTTTAATGAGATGGGCAGTGACAAATTTGAAATATAACTATAAACATGCCAATGTCCTGGGCTGCGCCATCCAGCAGCAGCCTGTGTGGAAAGCAGTGCTCCCGTGCATCTTGTCCAGGAGCTCGGAGCACCTTCAGCCACTGGTCAGCGTGACTCGCCCAGGTTCTTCCGTTACGAACACTGTGCCGCAGCTGCCTCAAGCCCTCCCAACAGCCGGGGTGACCGTGGGCTACAGCTCCCTCCAAGCCACGCTGCTGCTTTGCAACTCAGGGAGGCCCTCTTAATACCCTTTGCCCATTGGTGGGTCCTGAAGGTCAGCCCGGGTCTCCTGCAGAGACAGACAGGCAAAGGGCTCTCTAGGTCTGTAAAGCAAAAGGCCAGGGCGGAGCATCAGGGTCCCCCGACCCCGTGAGGACCCTCGCTGTATCAGAGGGAACTGTAGAAATGCCCAGGCGCGTCAGGCTGCAGGAATGCCTGGTCCCGGGCACGGCAGCTCGAGCTGCTCTTTGGGGCACCCATGTGGGACGGAGCGCAACATGTTCCCTGAGGCCAGAGCAGCTGCAGGAGAACCGAACCGGGGGCCTTGCTCGGGTTTCAGCCTGCTTGGGGGCTCAGCCTCAGGGGAGCTGGTGTTATGGACGCTGGGGCTGGGGGGGCGAGCTTGCCCTGCCCCTTCCCTGGCATGCTGTTCCAGGAGCTGGGCCCGCAGGCTCCCTTGGAAGGGGATGTCGTGGAATTTGCCCGAGCAAGGAGCGCAGTGCTGAGGAGAAGACCCAGGTCGATGGCCAGGGTCCTCGGGGGCCTGCTTTCCAGAAAGGAGGGGCCCTGAACCATGGAAAAGCACTGATGGAGGCTGCGGACTGCAAGGCGGGAAATCTTGGTTAGGATTACGTGCCGTCAAGTTCTTTTCGACTCCTGGCTGCCACATCGATAGAAATCTTAGGGATTTCTCAGGGATCTGATTGGCTGGCCAGTTTGGGGAAGCTGGGCAGGTCCTTGCCAGCGTACCTGGGGTGAGTTCTATTTTTTTTCAATTTTTTTATCCCGCCTTTATTATTTCTGTAAATAACTCAAGCCGGCAAACATACCTAGGCCTCCTCCCTCCTCTTTTCCCCACAGCCACCACCCTATGAGGGTTAGGATGCCTCGGGTGGGACGAGGCCCGGGACTTTTGTGCCTCGAGCGGGATGAGGCCCCACCACCTCCTGGTTTTTGGCCTGGCGCTTTCACCGCTAGACCCAACTGGCTCTTGGTTAGGCAAAGGGCCTTTCCAGAGGGCAGCGTTGCTGGGGAGGCCCCTTGCAAGGGAGGTGGAAGGTTGGGGCCATCGGCAGTGGAGGAGGGAGCCCGGGGTTCCTCTGGGGGCCCTCCCTTCCTCGGGCTCCCCTCGGGCTGGGCCACGAGCGGGCGAGGAGGCGCCTGCACCTGGGATTCGATGGGATGGCGGGGGGGCTCTGTCTGGGGCAGGGAGGGTTAACGTGGGTCTGATGGGGTTTGGCAAAGAGACAAACCAAAGGGCGGGGGGGCGGTCTCCATTTTGCTCATAGATTTATTTCCCCCGCTGCGGGGAGAGGGGCGGGCCTGCTGCCGAGGGAGGCCTTGCGGACCTCGCCGCACCCGCTGCCTCCCTCCGCAGGGCCCGGGCTTGCTGCTTCCTCTCCTGCCGACGCGCTGGAAAGCCGGCCCTGTCCCACGGACACCCTAACCCCGGGTGCTCCGGCTGACCAGACGTGGTGTCAAGCAAAGGTGATGGAGCCTTTGAGCACGTGTGGTGCACCCCCTGCCCCCCCATCCCTCCAGGCCATTTCGGGCAGGAGAAATGAAAAGGGAGATGAGCTGGATGTGGGAGTACAGGGAGGGGCGACCCCGATCTTCCACTCAGGCTAGGCCAAGTTGGAAATGGTGCCTTTGAGAAGCGACGGGTCCACGTTTCTCCCCCCTCGCCTGCGCTTAGGAGGACTTCGGGCTGAAGCCGTTCCTGTCTCCACCCTGCCGTGAGCCTTGCTGGCTGACCTTTGGCCTACCGCCCGAGCCCAGCCCACCTTGAAGGGTTGTTGGGGGGAATCCAGACTCCTTGGAGAACGACGGATGAGCGCACGCAGGGCTGCCTGTCTCTGCAGTGAGCAAAGCAGGGGGCAGGGGGCACACAACCCAGCCACACCGGGATGCCGGAGCTCCAAGGAGGGCCCAGGTGGCACAGGAGGCGTGCCTCGCACCTTGCCCGACAGCCTGTTTTCTTATCGGCATTGGCGGCGGCAGCCACGGCCCCTGCTCTCCAAGGCCTGCCTGCCCGGAGGCCAAAGTGCAGCTCCAGCTTGCAGTTTCCACTAGAGCCCACGGACAGACGCCTTTGTTCCCCCGGTGAGTGCGGCCCCTCTCCCCGCTCCCCCAGAGCTGGCCGAAGGGCAGGAGGCGGACTCTGGATGGGCCGGGGGAGCGCCAGACCCCGTCTCGGAGAGGAGACTGCCCTGCCCACCCTGGCACGGCTTCTGCCTGTTCTGGAGTCCGGACTCCTCCCCAGGTCAAGGGTGCTTCTGTGCTGCTCCTGGACGGGTGGCCCTTTTTGTGTCCCCCTACAGGCCAGCTGACTGCCCCCCAAGGAAGATGAGCCTGCGGAAGCAGCTGGAGGCCCTCAGCGTCTTCCAATGGGTGCTGACCTTCCTTTTCTTTGGTACGTGGGGAGGGGGAGTCTCTGCGGGCACAGACCAGCCGCTTTCCCTTTGGTGAGAGGGCGGCCCCCCACTCAGCGTCCTCTCCAGAAGGCAGCTGGGTGGCAGGGGGCTCGAGTGAAGCCCTGCTCTCCCCCACAGGCCTCTTCTTCACCCTGCTCCTCACCTACCTGCTCTTCACTTCCTTCTGGCTCCTGAGCGTGCTCTACTTCATCTGGTGGATTGCAGACTTGGACACTCCCGCGCAAGGTGCCTAGCTCCGCCACCCACCCAGCCGTCTTCCCCTGCCTGCGGCTTGCCTGGAGGAGTTTGCAGCCCCACAATGTTCCTTGAGCTACGTGGCATCTCCTCAACTCTCCCGCAGCAAGGAAGGGGCCCTCACCGTGTCCCCCAGGGCGGCGGCTGTCATCTTGGGCCCCAGATCCTCTTTCCTTTGGGATGTGGCTTCAGGGCTGGCCAGGGGGGAGGGGAAGCTCTAGGTTCTGCGAGGGACTTGTGGCTGCCTTCAGGGGCACTCTCTTGCAGCCATGCCAAATCCTCTGGGGGAGCTGAATCGGGCCCAAAGTCAGCTGCCGGCCAGGAGAAGCACCCCCTTGCCAGTCCAGCAGCCCCAACACCCTTCATCCATCCTAAGGCCAATATGGAAAGGCAGGACTTGCAGCGGGGGCGGCAGGCCCAACCTTCTCCTGGAGGACCAGCCACCCACCCTCAGCCGCCCCTGTACTTTTCCTGGCAGGTGGCCGCCGTAGCGACTGGATGAGGCGCTGGAAGGTCTGGGAGCTGCACAGGGACTATTTCCCTATCAAGGTAGTGGGGGCCTGGTGGAGGGGAGGGTGGCTGGTCTGCTTCAAAGGGACGTGGCCCCACAATGCCCACCCTGAAGAAGCCGCCCTGCTTCCTGTTGTTTACTGGGCTCAGTTGGAGCGGCTGGCATTGACCCTTGGGCCCAGGTGCCCTTGGCCGATGTCCAAAAAGCCAAGCAGGGTCACTCTGGCGGGACCTGAATGGGAGAGCACCAGGAAAGCCAGTGGGTTAGGGTTAGGCCTGAATTACGCGTGCTCTGCCCATAGGTGCCTGGCCAGCTAGTACGGGAAGGATGGAGGTGGCTGGGCCGGCAGCCCTAACCTTACCACCACCCGGGGGTCCCTCTTTTCCACAGCTGGTGAAGACGGCCGAACTGCCGCCCACAAGGAACTATGTCCTGGGCTCCCACCCACACGGCATTATCTGTGCCGGAGCCTTTTCTGCCTTCTGCACGGAAGCCTGTGGCTTCTCCCGGGCCTTCCCCGGCCTGACCTCCAGCCTTGCTCTCCTCGCTGGTCTCTTCTACCTGCCTGTGTACCGCGAGTACATGATGAGCTCAGGTGGGAAACCTTTCTCTCCCCAGTCCCAAGATCCCTGGCCTAGCTTTCTGGGCCAGGGCCAGGAGCACCATGGGCAGGCGCAAGGACCAAGCCCTGGAAGGGCCCTTTTTAAGCCTCAGAGGCCGGGGGTATCCTTTCTGGCATTTTGGGAGTTTGGGAGATGTTGGGGACATGCCTCAGTGCCCCTCCCTCTGGCGTGTTCGGGGCATGACCCTGAACTAAAAGAAGAATCTGTCTTCCACCTTGGGCCTTTCTGCTTTTGACCAGGATGTCGGTCCTTGGGAAGAGGAAGACTGGCTTAGGAGATCTCCTGGGTGGAAGAGGAGAGGGAACGTGGCAGCAGCCCCCTGAGCTGAGGGGCAGAGGGGCAAAGGAAGGCTCCAGGTGCCCTGCCTCCTGTCCTCCAGATGCCATGGTCTGGCTGGGGGTGAGGGAATCCAGCCAATGCATGAAGGCGCAGTGAAGAAGAGTGTTCCCCAACTCAAAGCCTGGTGTTCTTCCTCCCACGTTCCTTGTCCCATTCCAGGAATGGTGCCAGTCAGCAAGAGGTCCCTGGATTTCTTGCTCCGTGCGGGGCCCGGCCACGCGGTGGTCATTGTGGTGGGCGGGGCCACAGAGTCCCTGGACTGCAACCCTGGCGAGCAGCGCCTCCATCTCTCGGGGAGGCGAGGCTTTGTGCGTCTAGCGCTACAGCATGGGTGAGGGTCTCCTTATAGCCTCAGCAGGATTAAGGGGCGGAGGTCTGGAATGGGTGGGCGGGGCACCTTTTTTGGGATCCCCAAGTTCCTCGCGCATCAGGGGAAGAACTATCGGAAGCTTTACACCAACTCTCTTCTCCACCTCTAGGTTGAGGTAGTCTACACAGGATTGGTGGGGGGGGGGGGGGGGTGAGGGGGCTCTCCTATCCCCTGTGCACAATCTCCCCACTTCTATTTCCAGGGCAGACCTCGTCCCAGTTTTCTCCTTTGGAGAGAGTGACATTTTCCGGCAGCTGCAGTTTCCCGAGGGCAGCTCCCTCCGCCGTCTCCAGCTTCGCTTCAAGCAGC